GATAACTTTAAATAATAATAATAATAATAAGTAAAAGCAATAACAACAATAACATTTTGTATGTATGTATGTATATACATATGCTATATATATATATATACATATATATATATATATGTATGTATGTATCAAAAGTCATCAACATTTATCCATACACAGTTAGATAGATGATATGATGCCACGACATAAAACAACACGTGTGTACTGTACATACATATGCACAAAGCGTACACAAATAGATACACACACACACACACACACACACACACACACACATAACATTCGAAATGTACATAGGCACACACATATACACACAAGTACACATGCAGATATACGCACATACACATACAAATAGATATACACACATACATATATTCAAAATGTACATAGACAAACACACATATACGCAAAAATACACATACCAGTACAGTACACATACACATACATATAAATGAATATACATATACATGAATATACATATACATAAATATACATATATATATACTTCTAATAGTTTGTTATCTCGGTTATAACAAAAAAAAGACAACAAAACGTTTCAAGATTTTATCTAATAAGACTATCTGAAAATCAAATGATTGAATGTAAGAATGAAGAAAAAAACGACAGAATCAGTGAGTGAGTGAGTAAGTGAATGAATGAATGAATGAATGAATGAACGAACAAATGAACGAACGAACGAACGAACGAACGAACGAACGAACGAACGAACGAACGAACGAATGAATGAATGAATTATATAGTTAACGAACATTAACGAGTGATTAAAATATTTTGACACACATTTGACGACGATGAATTTCCTAAAATAATAATACCATAAAAATACTAAAAATAATAATAACAATAACAATAATAATAACAAAAATAATAATAATAATAAAATAACAAAGATAAACAGTTTAAAGAAACAAGAAAGTGTCTGCACTTCTTTTTGGTCTTGGGAGTCCTAGAGGTGGCTAATGTACAATTCTGGAGAGAAAAAAAAAACGTCTCCGTTTTATTATCACTCATTGGCGAACATATGAACAAGCAGGTGAACATACATAAACATAAAATATGCAAACAAGACATACAAAACAAAACATTTAAAACCATACATGAACAGGCGATTATTGACAAACAGGGAAACATCAATCCATACAAACAAATCGTTTCTACCAAACTGATGGCCCGAAGTAGGTAGGTAGAGGTAGAATTGAAATGCAAGCGAACAACTCAATAGATCTAAATAATACTCGCTACCAGCCAAATCTTAAGATCTTATCCACGCATTCGACGAAAGGTATTGATTGATTTCAAAATTTATTGTTGGATATTTTATTATTTATTTATTGTTTCTCTTATTACAAAAAAACCAATAAAATCACTAGTATTTATATTTGTTTGTGTTTGTGTGTGTGCGCGTGTGTGCCTTTATGTGTATGCGTACGTGTGCGTAAGTCTATATATATTTTGATTTTAGCGCAACCCATATTTAAATTATCCTACTTATTCTCAATATTACATACATATACTTTACAAGCTTCTAGCCAATCAATTGAAAAGTTTGAAAAAGCGAAAAAAACCTCTAAAGAACGGAGACCCGCCAACTCGAAACAACTAGCTAGTCTACACGTGTTAATTATTTAATTAATCTATTAAGCTATTAAATAACACACGTACATTTGCTACTGCCTACCTACCTATACAAAACACTGATACATCAATTAAATGAACATGATTACCACCTTCAACTACACTACGTCATCAGCTTCAATTACGTCATCAGCTTCAATTACGTCATCAAACACAACCACAAAAAAAATCACAACCGCGTCAGTCGGCCATCTTAAAAAAACACAACCAAGAGTTATATCCAGCTACTAGTGAAAAAACAACAAATGCTTGTTACAACTACATACAACAGCAGCCGAAAAAATACCGACGACACATACACGCACACACACACTACCAACAACTGTTCTTCTCTTGGTTTTTAAATATTTAATAATATTGTTCAATGATTTATTATTAAGCACTTCGCAAAGTTCCCTTCTTAATTCGCCAAAATTTCATTCAACTTAAGAAAAATTTCTACCTGAAAAAAAAACAACAACAACTTTTTTCCATCCTCATCAATCCATCATTACCCTCACCATTCCATCATCATCATCTCCATTATGATAACATTACTAACTCTGGATGAATTTTAGAGATAATGAGAAAAGTGAGGGCGAGTAGGGATGTACCGAGAAGATCTCCGATAGCGGTTAGATACGGTATCGAGGAATTGTCGGGATCGTTGCCGCGGGCCCAGAGAAAATGCACCAAGCCGTGGGCTATGTATAACAACATGGCTACCTATATTAGAAAAAAAAATGACGTCACCATCTACCAAACCAACATCAACTACGACTACACTACTACTACTACACTACTACTACTACTACTAC